GCGCCTAGAACTGTCTAACGTGTCTGAAAGCGCGTCTCGCCCTCGCGATTAATCAACCTCGCGTTGCACGGGCTATCATTTGCCGACTGCTACACCGCACCTCCACCGTGGCTTTTCCGAGCTTTGACGCTCAGACGCGATAAAAGGAATAAGGAACAAGGAATAAAGTACAGGATAATTTATACGTGTTGTAAACATATCTTAAGTGAATAAAAAGACATTCTATTTAGTAATAAAACAGATTTAATCGCACGAAACTTCGGCTTCTCCGACTTTTGCAATCTGTATATATGAGCAGGCCAATTAGACGGTAGGGTCACGTGGAATTTTCTAGTTATTATGTAGACACCGTAATGTATAGGCAACACAGAAGAGTCGGGTAGGGCCGATTCATACCGATGCGCGTCCCAGCAGCAACGTATTGCAACCGCAACACAGTTGCGATACGCGCGCTGCGTAATCCGCTCCCGACGAAGGTGCGGTAAATCTCTCGCCGTTTCTACCGGTGCCGTGTTCGTGCGTTCGCCGTTACTTCGAAATTTCCAATCCGAGACCGGGCGGCGAGTAGTCTCCGAGTTTTCCCCGCGACACGCCTGTCGAAAGAAATTGAGCGATTAACCGCGCTATGTTTCACCGTGGAACGCTAGAGAGAAGGTTTTCAAATATTTGAGATATCTTAAAGGCATCTATAAAAGGGATTTTTTTTATAGATATCTTTAATAAATATCTTTGAAACGATCGCTTAAAAATTTCTTCTACCTGGGATGCCGCGCGCGCGCGGCTGCAACTGCTTTTAGTCGAACAAATAGAAATACTAAATCTAAAGGAACTTTTTTCCCTAGATGCGCGAATCCCGTGTTGTTATCTGCGTGAAATGGCGTCTCCGAAATTCCGAAAATTCTTTTTAATCCCCGACAATTAGGAGACAATTTTGTCTTCCACGACGCGCGCGATTGTAATCACCGTTGCCTTTGATTTAATTCGCCGCGCAGGAAAGGGCGACTCTCTCTCTCTCTCTCTTTCGCGCGCACACCCAACACTCATTTACGTAACGCAAAATTGTTTGTGATAAAATAGCCGAGGGATAAGATTACAGAGCTAATGATGAGAATCGCGCGTATAATATTATCACGTGTATCGTTGTGCAACGTAAATATGCGGCTGCGGCTGCGTAATGGTTTATAGTATCGGCGTAGTATCGTCGTGCGCGCGCGCGCCTGTGACAATTCATAATAGCTGAGACGCCTCCGCGATTTTTCGCCGATCTTTTTGCACAGCATATTATTATTCCACGCCGCGTTCTCTTTTCCTCTCTCTTCGGCGTTTGCGGCGTTGAAGGCGCGGCCGGCGCGCGTCTCCCTCTTATTAAAGCGTAGATGTGCCGCCGGCGCGTCATTATCCCTCGCGACATATCGATATTTTTTCACATGCGCGCGCGCCGTCTCTCCCGATGAAATTTTCTTATATTTTCCACCCGGTCGTGTTACTTTTGTTAAGATTACCCACGGGGTACTCGCGATTATAATATTCGCGTTTCAGGATCATTCGAGCGCCTCTTAGCACGCCTGATATCTCCGGTAAGAAAGGACAAAGCAGGACACGCTCTATCGACGTGGTTCTTCGTTGTTTCAGCGAAGCACCTGTGAACATGTCATTAGGAACCATGTTCTTATCGCAGTGTAATATTTTGACATTTAACTTCGCCTCTTCGCGAAGTCCTTCCCGTCTACCTCTGATATTTCGGGATCTCCAGTTGACAGTTGAAATGTTAAAATTGATATCGAGCGAACTCTTCATATTGAGAATAATCTATAATAAAGTGTCTCATATTTGATTATAATCATAATATATAGGCCATGTCCCACTTAACGCTCGTAACGATCGCGAGCATCGTTCCGTTTCTGTCCAACATTCAGGAGGAACAAAGATAGAATGATGTTCACGATCGTTACGAGCGTCAAGTGGAACCTGGCCGTAATGAAAGAATTATATGGTCAGGGGAATTAATAAACCCTTTGCGGTGATCTCCGTCGCGTCATCTCTCTCTCTCTCTCTCTGTGATATTTCGAAATATCATTGACGATCGAGAAATTAGAATTGACTTCGAGCAAGCTTCGTACTCTATACGTTTCTTGAAGCGAAATTTGAATTGGAAATCAGAATGACCATCGAATCACTTCGATTCAAGTGATTTCTTACTCATGCAAGGTCAGAATCTTCCACTCGGGATCGTCGAGTGAACAATTTCACTCGAAATTGAAGGGTGACTCCAATGTATTCCACCGTCACTGGAACGTTTATTCATCCTAATTCAGGGATTCTCGAAGTCGCGAAACATTTTAGAATGTTAAATTACACTTTATTACTTCGCATATAGACCTTCAGTCTATTTTTTCCTACAAGCTGTCATCAATAGAAATAGGAAACAAGCGCGTTTTTCGCACACACACACACACACACCTCATGTATCTAAAAAATTTATAAGGTTATTAATATGCTATTGCTATACTGTAGTTGCAACAAGGAGTTACAGTTAGCACCGAAAAAATTGCTATAATCTCAGCGACGATATTTTTCTCTCAATCTATTTGAGGCGCGCGCGCCAATGTCGATGTCGCGTATTCGTCACGGAAATGCAGGTGGCTGCGCCGGCCGGCTGCGTTAAGATGCAGCACTGCACTTTCTCTCGGCTGGCCGAACCGGGAACCGCCAAGGACGCCGAGCGTTTTCCATTCCGTCGGCTTCCGGCCACGCGCCTCCGCCGTTATTATCGGCTTGCGAGCGGTCGTTGAAAAAAATAGGAAGCAATTAATGATGTTAGCCGAAGCTCTCTCTCTCTCTCTATCTGATCGGCGATGACCCGTTGATCTCGCTCTTCCGTGTCACGCATCTGACGCATCCGCCCGAGGTGTACACGTCGACTTGTGTATGCATGCGAGCGAGCGATCGTTCGTCCGGACTCGTAATTAAGCCGAGTCGTTCGCGCCTGGAGGTGTCATTAATTGTATTAACGGTAATTCCAATCGCACGCGAGAGTTCCCGACAGTACGCGCGAGTCGAGGATGGAGAGAGCGCGGTCGCGAGCGGCGGACGCAACAGGCGTTCGTTCTCGGCTCGAACTCGCGTCGACGAAGACTGGGAGGTAACGTTCGCCGACCGATTCGTCTGCTAAGCGAGATTATGCGTATTATGGATATTAATTTTGTGTTAATCTTTTACATATTTGTTTGTACCTTTTAATATATTCACCTTGTATTAAATTGACACAAAACTTTGGTAACTTTGTTTAATCTGTTCGAGACACGTAAAATGCGTCAGATTTAACGCCAAATTTTTTTACCGTGTTAAAACAGATAACGCTGTCTAATCTAAAACATATAATTTAGCTATTGTATACACTCCGTTGACATTTAAAAATGAGGCAACGAATCAAAATTGTGGATACCTTATTCCATAAAAGAGAAAAACAGAAGTGAGCATTACCTCATTGTCTGGCAACTAATTGTAATTTTTCATCTTATAAATGTAATTTCGTTTGTTTGACCATCAGCTAACTTATTTATCTAGTATTATCTAATCACTAGGATAAGTGAACGTTACATTACTGATTAGTAACGACGCAAATTTTAGACACAAATTTTCTACCTCGTGGTTGGATACCAACGAGATTCGTTTTTTTTACTAGAAAATGGGGAGTATATACAGGAAAAGTATGTTGTTATATCAATAGAATTGCTCTCGAAGTTTCTTGGAGTGGAGCCTCGTTCGAAACAAATGAAAAGTGGCAGTATTTTCATTTGAAGCGACACTAAAAATATCGCTACTCGAAATCGCGAGAGTGAATGTTTCACTCGAGCTTATAATTAAATTCCGAGTGAATATTTCAATTGATTGAAGTGAATTTGTTTCCGTGAGGGGTGGAACGCATCAAATTTACTATTTTTGAGTGAAACTAATCACTCGACCATTCGGGACGGAGAATTCTCTCCACGCGAGAAAACTTTAATTCCTGTAATTGAATACGAACTAGTTGAAAACTCGATGACAAGAAACGATATCTCTGTTAACGCCACTGGGAACATTCGTGTAAACATTCATCTGCATTAAAGCTTGGTTGAGACAGCTGAAAGCGATTGGCCGAGTAGAAACCTCTTATAGGAATATTTCTGTTCCTACAATCAAGTATTCGTCTGGCCCTCAGGCAATAGAATATTTTTGGTTGTACTAATCGAGCTGTTTTTTCTACAATCTTGAAAACTAGGAGGAAAACCGATTTTTTTTCTTATTTTTCCGAGTTTCTTATCTTTCCTACAGAAAAAATGAACGTGATTTTAATCGAATATTTGTGAATTTTTCTAAACGAATTTTTCTTCTATATTTTCTATCTCTTCTTCCTTGGGGCAGAGAAATCCGCGGAAAAATGGGGAAACCCGATTTTTTTCGAGCTCTCAAAATTATAATTTTATATACGAGTGAAAAATCAGATCGAATCAAAGTGTTCAACTTACAAATTGATCGACAGCGTCGTAATTGGAGTAAATATTCTCGATTCAGTATCAATATTATCGTATCACATACATACATTGTTTCAATAATTCCAACAGTGATATTGCTGTTGAGTCAAGGAGATTAAAGATCAATTACGGCGCTGTTGACCAATCCTATTGATATGACAGCAGCACCTTTTTTGCTACACACACGCGTACCGCACTGAGAAAATATCTGTCGGTACTTGTAACTTTAATTTCGCGTGAAAGCATTTAACTTGTTTATTAAACATCATTTCTGCGCATAAGTGAAAGAATTATATGAGAATCTTTTTTTTATTTAACGTTACCATAAGATTAATGATAACAATTTCACGTGCGTATCGCCGCTACAATTTTTCTGGTTAGAACCGGAAGAAGATATAGGCGTGAGTTGCCGAAAATGGCTGTAATTTTCGTGGGATTTCCTTCAGTTTGCCCTAAACCGAGAAACGTGTTTTGTCCTTCCGGCAGATTATTGGAGAATAGCGGGAGCATCCACGACGGCTTCGGCAACTATACGACGGACGTGAAGTGCTCCTGGCTGATCACGAGCGAGTCCAAGTCCAAGATACGCATGCACGTGGAGCAGTTCGCGACGGAATGCGGCTGGGACCACCTATACATCTACGACGGTGACAGCATCGAGTCGCCGTTGCTCGCCGTCTTCTCCGGGCTGATGCACAAGGACGGTTATCACATACGCCGCGTGCCGGAAGTAATAGCGCGATCCGGCAGCGCGTTGCTACACTTTTACTCCGATGTCGCGTACAACATGAGCGGCTTCAACATTACATATAAAATCAATGCTTGTCCGAGCAGGTGAGTGCGCCGCCCGCGGTCTACCCCTCTCTCTCTTTCCGCCACTTTCTTTTTCTCTCTCTCTCTCTCTCTCTCTCTTCCGTCTTCCGCTTCATCGAGCACGGTAAAGATATCGTTTCGGCTCGATCGATTTCCGTTGAGAAAATCACTTAAGTAAAATCGGACCACGTTCTTCCCGACGACGGAGCAGAACGTTCTCGACGTGAATACCGTACGCGCATTCTTCCAACACTCGTCTTCGTTACACGGTAAAAGGACTTCTTTGGATATCTAATAAAATTTCTCTGATCGAAACAAACTTGTCTCTTGAAATGAGAGCAAACGAAGGATCGTTTTATTCGACAGACGGGTTTGTTCGGTTTCTCAAGCAATAAAATATCTCTCTTTACGTCAAATAACGCATCTCTCTTGTATTTATATCCAAACATTGCAGTGCGTGTCACGAGCAATAAATTATTCGAGAGAAGTAACACTGTGTTACATAAAAGTATCAAGGAATTTCCTCGTTTTTTTAGAACAACAATGTATAATAATTTTTTTTACTGAGAACGAAATATTATTTCCTATGGATAATACTATTTTTTTCTACCAAGCACAACACGATTTATTCTTAATTAAACGAAATAACAGTATTTTCGTTTGAACAAAAAATGATGTTTGACATTGAGTTACGTTGTTTGTACTAAATAAATCCAAGTTAAACGTATTTAACTAATGATCCAAAGGAACCTTTTTCTCCGTTTAACGTAAAACATGGGCACAACAATGCGACACCTGAGGATATTTTAATCTGGTGGTGGTCCGAAGGCACACACACACATACATACACAGAGAGCACAGATAAATAACCGTGGCGTCACGGACGGTTGATACCTTTGTACCGGACAGCACTCACGAGATAAGGAGAAAAAAGCGGGACGTTTTGTGGAATTATCCATATTAATGACGCGACTTGATGGGCCATGACATCGACTGACCTTAAAAGCCGTCGCGAACGAACGAACGACTGTCGCAACGGCTCCGCCAGTGGAGGGAACGCGGTCCGAGAACACGTGGTCGGCCTGGCTAGCCGCGTAAGGGATTTCCAGCGGGTGTCTTATGAGCGCGGCATGCCGAATGTAAGTCAAGTACATTCTGCGGTGGACACGTCGCGAGCAATAACGCGGCCTCCAGGGAGAATAAATCGCTCCCGAACGGAGGACGAGACGGGACGAAAGAGATTTCGGCGATGCCTCCGCGCCGCCAGATGAACAACCCTGGGATATCAACCTGGAGAACGCGTAACGACGCGAGTGCAATCGTCAATATAGCTTGTAATCGGGTCACTCCCGGCTTAGGAACTTTATCGAGCTTCCACTGCGCGCGGGAAGTACTTAGCTTGATCCGTGTCACGTTTAATAAACGTTACCTATGGTCAGAGAATCGGAAGAGTGGGGGAAGAGGGGGCATGACCATTCGTGCAAAAAACGTCTGCTGGGTTCGATCGAGGGTGCGATGATTTTTGTAATTAACACGCGGAGAAAACGACTCTGTTTTGTGTGTAACTGAATTTTCCGCGGTCCGTTTGGGGGGGGGGGGGCAGACAAAAACTCGGTTGTAGAAAAACAGGAATGGGAGCGACTCACCTTTCTTCATTTATTTGGAAACTTTTTATTTTTTCTCAATTAAAAAAAATTAAAAAAAAAATTTTTTTCTTGCTAGACTTTTGAACCTTTTCGAAGAAAAAAAGTTTGATCGCCAAAAATTGTGTTTAATAACTAGCTTTTTTTCAAGATTAAACGAAAGATCCAAAGAAAATAGGAAGCCACAACGAGATTTCGACGACACAATGTTCGTAAAATGAAGGGCTGTGACTTTATTTTTAAGCTATTGTCGTCACGTTTGCCAGAAAAACAGACAATGACCGGCATGTGCGCAACAACAGATAGTGTTCTATTAAAATTGCAGTGGAATCATTTGTTCACAATTTTGCCCATGTTTATCCAACCATAATTTTTGTTTGTTCACCAAGCTAAAACGTGTTATTCACGAACCCGGGAAAACAGATGATGACCGTCATGAGCTTATCTCTCTCTTTCTCTCTCTATGTTTTATTTAGATTAGATATTATTGAATATTATTCCTAATAAGTCGACTGACTAATCTGTTTTCGACCTAAAAATCTGTTATTTAAATTCCCTTTATTTCTACAATTTGTTTTTACGTGACGAAAGAATCTGGGATATTTCAATATTCTGGAAATATGTACATATTGCAGTAAGGCTTAACTGGACTTAAGTGTTTAAAAAAAAGTACACAAAGAATTTAACTTCTCTTTTTTGTGCAGAGTTTTATCGCATTTAAATATGTATTTAAGACTGAATTTAAAAAGCCTGTCACATTTATTGCCGCAAGGAAAATGGAGAAACCGGGAAATTCGCGGAAGAATTAGAAAAAAAAACCCGGTTTTCCTCCGAGCTTTCAAAACTATACTGTCGCGATACTTTTGCCCGCGGATTCTCTTCTCTCGAGGAGTCCACCGCCGAGAAACGGCTTCTGCGACAGCTTCACGAGCCTCCTCCTTGAGGCCTCTCGTGCTCGGAATTCCCGTTCTTCAATTACCGAAAGCGTAATCAGAGCGTATCACGGTTATTATCAACAGTCCTTTCTCATTAGGAGGAATATCGATTGAGCGTTCATAACGGACGTTTATTGTGCGAGCGAGCTAGCGAGCAAAAGCGAGTAAACAACGCTGAGAGCAAGAGAGAGCGTACATTTGTCTATCGACGGCGTTATGACGATCATGGTGACTGCCGGCCACCTATCGTTCCGCGCCAAGATTGGTTCAACGTATCTTGTGTATAAACATACACGGCCCGTGTGTTCTGTTACCAGGTATTCCCACACCGACTGCTCCGGAAATGGCGTGTGCATTGAGGGCACATGCACCTGCGACGCCACGTGGACCGGCGAAGCCTGCGACGTGCAGGTTTGCCCCAATAATTGCTCGTATTATCACGGGCAGGGCGAGTGCGATCGCGAGAGTCATCACTGCAACTGCTTCAACGGGTACAAAGGTGAGCGAGTGTCTTGTTGTGTCGGCTTGTCGACAACAGGATTATGCGGTTTCGCGCGAATTCTCCGACGACGGCCTTGATCCGATAGCTCGCGAATGCTTGACGAGCGACACGTCGATCTCTCTCTGATATATATCGCTGCGTGTGCAGGATTATTCGAGAATATAAATAACTCGGCACCTTTGAGAATGTATTGCCGGTGACTTAAAATAATTAGAAAAATTATAGGAAGAAAATGAGTAGATCTACGTTACATTTAAAAGCGATAGAATCAAGTTTGACAGTAATTCAGAGCCTGGATCAAAAGTTATTTCACTTTAAAACTAGTGTAAGGTTAAAATGAAATTGAAAAAATATTTTCTCGTATTTGTTTTGTGTGTGTGTGTGTTACACATATATTGCATATATGTTACATATATGTAACATATATATTACATTCATATTATATATATTATATAATATATATGAATGTAATATGTATGTAATATATATATGTATAAATTACACGCGCGCGCGCGCGTGTGTGTGTGTGTGTGTGTGTGTGTGTGTGTGTGTGTGTGTGTTATCCTTTTGCAAGAAATTATTACTTGTTTTGCTTTTATTGTCCCAGAAATTAATTCTCAGTGACCGGTATATATTTATCGTCCAGATGTACCGAGAACACGCGTGTTATAATTCGCGGGAATTATATATCCGTACGCTTCAATCTCAATTCGTAAATATTCGGCGGCTTGTTACCTTCGGGAGCTCAATGCCCATTGGTATGATATTAATCTGATATTACGTAATCGTGGAATGGATATTGTGATATCGTGTATCGAATTTAACGCGAATTTGCGATTGTTACCGCTGCGGTATCGGTAACAATCGCAACTGTAACATTGCATCATGGATTTGTTTAACAAAATTCACGTGCGTGGAAGATAGGACGTATTCGATTTAATTCGCACCCGTCGACTTGTCTGGATTGACAGCGAATTGTTGATGATAATTTTGCAAAATATTCATTCCCGATATTGTTAAATTTCACGCCTTCGCCATGAGTTTTTATTTTCTATCGGTGTTTTCGTCTATTCTGTTAACCCTAATTTGGCACTTGTAGATCAAATCGATCGAAGCAAAAAAAACTTAAAATCCCACAGTTGTTGAATCTTGAATTATTGCACAGAATTCTTTTCTCGAAACATGCACCGTCTTTTAAATTCACGGGGAATTTTTTCCTTCGGGTTTGAGTAGACGTCCTGTTCGTAGAGTCCACGATAAAATGTGCAAGACAAGTAATTGCCGGCGATTCGTGATCTTCGTAGGTGCGGATTGCAGTCAAAAGGGTGATCGTGGGTTTTGGGAGAGTATTACGTATAAGGACCTACTGCCGGACGGCTCGGCCAGTCACTGTTCCATCGTCTGGAAGGACTCGCTGTACGTGGTCGGCGGCGAGAGCTTTCATCGTGCCAAGATGATCTACGTTTACGATTACAACGGCAACGTCTGGGAGACGCCTCACGTGGAAGGCAAGGCGCCAGTGCCGCGTTACGCGCACTCGTGCGTGCTCTTCGGCGACAAGATATTCATGTACGGCGGTGTTGTGCAGAACTCCACCGTGACCAATGAAATCTGGGCGTTCGACGTGTCCGCGAAGGTCTGGGAGAACGTCACCGTGCACGACAACTGCCACAATAAGACGATATGCGGCCCTCTGAAGGTGACTAGGCGGCTCAGCTCCGCAATTATCTTACCTCGGGGAATATCATTCTTCGTTACAGCGGGAGGTTTCAATTTAGATCTCTGAAAGGGACAATACAACGAGTCATCTCTCATCGCGATTTTGCGCGTCACGATTGTCCTTCAATTCTTAATTGCTGGAAACTCAATGGTGTTTCTCCAGTTTTTCGAACAACGATGATATATACTGTGGGAAAGGAATCGTAAGAATAGAAAAATATTTATCTTTGATCCGTCGGTTTTTATTGTTAACGTGTGTGACGGCACCGTGGAGCTTTGACCCGGACCGCTCTTTGCCACAACCAAGAAGAAGAAAAGGAAATATTTCATTAGTACCGAATCGATATTTTTATTCGTCATATACTTTCCCCTCCGATTAGATACTTCCATGCGCTTGCCTCGTGTTTCGTCGAACTCTCAGCGATCTTAATCACGTCTCAACGGGTCGTTTTTGCACACAGGTGGCCGGGCATACCGCGACCCTCGTGCAGAGCCACGGCAAGAAGGAGAAGATGGTTGTGATATTCGGCTATTCGCCCCAGTATGGTTACTTAAACACCGTCCAGGAGTACTACTTGGGTACGCGTGAGTGGCAGATCGTGCGGACGATCGGCTTCCCGGTGAAAGGTGGCTACGGGCACAGCTCCGCCTACGATCCTCTCACGAATCTCATATACGTGTACGGCGGCTACGTGTCGGAGTCGCAGAGCACGCAGGTGCTCACCAGCCGGCTGTACTCCTACCACCCGAACTTCCGCGAGTGGCGGCTGCTCACGTCGGCGCCGTCCGCGCGATTCTTCCACACCGCTGCCTTCGTCTCCGGCGGGCTGATGCTGGTGTTCGGCGGCAACATGCACAACGACACGCATCACTCGCACGGGGCGCGATGCTACTCGTCCGACACGCTCGGCTACGACGTCACGTGCGACGCTTGGCATCAGTACACCATGCCGAGGGACATGAACGACCTGCCACGGTACGGCCATAGCGCGACGGTCTTCGAGAGGTCGATGTATATCTTCGGCGGCTTCAACGGCGAAATGCTGTCCGATATGCTGAGGTACGATTCAACTCGGTGCACCTTAACACGTTTCCACTATCGCGCTTAAGGGCTCGGGTATACAGACGTGAGGAAGAGAATGAGGAATAAGAGATATAGAGGAATATAGGGGATTGGGGGCGGGGAATTAAATTTCGACACACGCTTCAATTCACGATGAAGGAACGGGGGGCTGAGATGACAAGTTGCGTGCTTAATTCAAGTTAATTTCAAAATGTTTGATGGTCGCGGGTATACAAATGGGAGAGGGTTTGAGTCGATCGACGGTTAGTTCGTATCACCCTTGTGAACAGCGCGCGAATACAGGGACTTTGCGCAGGTACACACCGGGGAATTGCGAGCACATCACGAACCAGTACCAGTGCCTGAACGCCAGGGTGGGCGTGAAGTGCGTGTGGCACAAGCGGGACGGCCGGTGTCTGCAGATCACGAAGATACCGCAGCACGTGCTCAATCACAAGGAATACGACGATCACGACGGCATCTACATGAGATGCCTGGACGAGATGCCGCCCCGCGGCATGACGTCCCACGAGGAGCTCTGCAAGCTCTTCATGGACTGCGTCGCCTGCGTGCAGACCTCGTACAACTGCGTGTGGTGCGGCAAGAGCTGTTCGCACGAGAAGTGCCGGGACCATCCGAACTCGCCGGCGTCCCGGCTCGTCATCAAGGACCTCGAGCAGTGCGACGCCAACACCGGCGTTGAGTGCCTGCAGCTGCACACGTGCCACGCGTGCTCCAGCAATCCGCGCTGCATCTGGTCCTGGTCGAACGGGCCCGACCGTTGCAAGCCGCACTCGAAGACCCGAGAGGTGGGCGAATACATTCGTCTTTTACACTACCGGGTCGGCCAGTAGCGACATAACAACGTTTCAGGTGAGCGTAACGCTGAACGGCACGATCCTGGCGCAACGGCTGACGATGGACAACTGCCGGAACCCGTGCGTGGAGTACACGTCGTGCCGGAACTGCACCGAGTCCGACTGCATCTGGTGCCAGAACGAGGCGAAGTGCGTGGACAAGAACGCGTATCCGGCCAGCTTCCCGTACGGGCAGTGCCGCGAGTGGACGACGATAGACGTCCGATGCCGCGCGACGGAGACCGGCCGAGAGTGGTGCAGCTTCTACTCGTCGTGCTCGACCTGCCGTGCGGACCCCGGCTGCGGCTGGTGCGACGACGGCTCCGAGACCGGGAAAGGGCAGTGCCTGCCTGGCGGGGCCGGCGGCCCCAGCAGCAGCAGGAGCCTCAGCGCGTGTCCGAGAGATAATTGGTACTTCACGAATTGTCCGAGTAAGCGAACGTTCCGTCCAATCGCGGCTCCTCCCTCCTCGCGAATGCGCTTCACGCACACCGAATGTCGCCGTCGTCGTTGTTAACGCAAACTCGCCGCCGCTCTCTTGTACTAATCCGTTTCTTCCGTTTCTCGCTTCTTGATCCCCGCAGCTTGCCAATGTAACGGCCACAGCAAGTGTCTTCCAAACAGCAGTGTCTGCATCGAGCCGTGCGGCAACTTGACCTACGGGCCGCACTGCGACAAGTGTCTCCCCGGTTATTACGGCAGTCCGCTCAACGGAGCGACCTGTCAACGTACGTTCTCACTCGCGTCTTGCCGAAGTATCGTTCTTTGCGATCACCATGGCCGGAGGTAGAACGGTCTTTTTCGACGAACCTCCCGAACCAGTGTGCGTGCAGTGCGAGGATTAGAGATCACTGCAAAATTAGGGAACCCTGGATATACGGTCCTGGGCGGAGCTGAAGCGACCTTTTCCCGCAATGAATTTTCATCCCGAAACTTTCACCCCAGAGAGGTTCTGCTATGTATTCGTTTCACTCGACTTATCGCACCAATATATATATATATACCAGTTCAGGAAGTTTTTCGAAAAAGAACAGACTCGGAGAGACGATCTGGAGTCTACTCGAGTCCTCCGGAAGGCTTCGAAGTTGTCGAAGATTAACGGCCGCGATCGTTACAGCTTGCTCCTGCAACAATCAGGGCACGCAGTGCACCAGTGAGACCGGCAAATGTTTCTGCACGACCAAGGGCATCATCGGCGACCACTGCGAGCGTTGCGACGTGTCCGGCCTCTACCACGGAGATCCTACGAACAAAGGATCTTGTTTCTGTAAGTCGGCCGATGAAATCGTGCCTCTTGGTCGTCGGCCTCGTCGGCGTTGTCGTCGAATATTATCCGTCCGTTCCACATTATTTTTCCCTTCTTCCTAGACGACTTAGCCATCGACTACCAGTTCACGTTCAACCTGAGCAAGAAGGAGGACCGTCACTATCGGGCGATCAACTTCAAGAATTCGCCACCGAAGGCCGACATCGACGCCGAGTTCTCCATCACGTGCTCCGTGCTCGCCAAGATGAACGTCACCATCAAGAAGGTGAACAGCCCGGAGAAGCCGGTGCTGCTCGGCGCGAACTGCACGACCACCATGTACAAGCACCGCTTCAGCAAGGCGGACTACAATTTCGGCGGCGAGGACAACAATACCCTCACCACGTTCTACGTGTACATGTATGACTTCCAGCCGCCGCTGTGGATCCAGATCTCGTTCTCGCAGTACTCCAAGCTGAATTTGCAGCAGTTTTTCATTACATTCTGCACGTGAGTACCGCATCGGTTCTCAACACTTGGGCTGATACGAGGCCGAAGTAAAGCGGGGGCCTAAAAATAGTCGCGTTAAATCCCGAGCGCTCGCCGGCGGAGAGGAAGAGCGAGAATCCCCTCGGGAAGTAACGGGACTGTTCGGGCCTTCACACGCTTTATTTGTTTCCGAATTCTCCATGCCTCCTCCGTTGTGCAGAACCTCAACCAGTACTTACTTGTAAACTAGAGATTACATGACACCGCACAGGTGCTTCCTCGCTCTGCTGTTGGTGGCCGCCATTCTCTGGAAGATTAAGCAGAAGTACGACATGTATCGGAGAAGACAACGACTCTTCCTAGAGATGGAGCAGATGGCCAGCAGGCCGTTCAGTCAGGTTCTCGTTGAGATCGAGAGGCGCGACGTCGAGAGTTCAGACTCGGAAGGCGGCGGTGATGCCGATCTGATCAATTGCCGAAAGAAGAAAAAGGTAAAAAGCTCTCTCCTCGCCGGTGCTTTTCTGCTTTCTTCGCGAAGGAAACAAACGAATCTCAGCGCCTACCATCCACTCACCTTGAGTCACCTTTCGTCACCTTTTTCCCCGAATTGCCGTTAAATTTGTAAATGGTGGACATATTTCTGCCACTTCGTCCGCTGCAGAGAGGCGCGCGTGTGTCGCAGAAATCGAATAACAATTGTCGTTCTCCGTGCAGACTGCTCCTAGTCCGATCGCGTTGGAGCCCTGTTGCGGTAACAGAGCGGCGGTCCTGTCTCTGCTAGTCAGATTGCCGACCGGCGGTGAGCCTTACACGCCAGCCGGGCAAAGCGCTGGTCTAGCTGTAGCCTCCGCTCTAGTCACGCTCGGCGCCGTACGCAGGCCGTCTCAGGAGCTGACGACGAAGGAACAGAAGAAGACGAGGAAGTCCGTCAGCCAGCACCCGGATTCTACTTGCATTTAGCGACATTAAATTTTTCGCCACGTTAAATTTGTGTCGAGCGAGCGAGAGAGAGAGAGAGAGAGAGAGAGATAGAAAGAGATAGAAGAGGGGAGGGGGGGGGCGGTGTATATCGCGACCGGGGCGTGACGGTGAGCCTTAAGAGTTGTTTCTGTGATCTTGCCTGCGCTTGAAAACGCGGCGGAACGGTCGACCCTTCCGTCTTCGAACTCTGGTGGAGTGAAGGGGAAGTGCGGACGACGACGACGAGGACGGCGATTACGAGGAAAGGAGACTCGTTCGTCGGCGCGCGACTGATCGGCGAATCGAATTATTCGGATAATTTGAGCGCGGTTAAACCGAGGGAGCGACTCGGCTGAGAGCGTTTAACACTAAGTAGATGTACATATATGTACACACACACATACACATACATAGACACATATATACGACTTTCCTTATCGAGTAGAAGGAAAGGACGCCTTCTCGCCGAGAGGAGCGAACTGCTCCAACCGGCGTTCACCATGTCCGTCAATCACGGTAAGTAAGGACTTTCTGTTCGGGCGCCGTGAATAAGGAAGGCTACCTACGTGCGCTCGGAGGACGTCCGTTGACGTAATTGCTCGGCCAAGCCTTTGAGTTCCACCTCGATTTAAATTAAAAGAAAAAAAGAAACACGGTGTAAAATGTTGTGTATATATATATAGGCGGTTTAGAGACGCGAGTCCATCGTTTTCCTCGAATAATTTGCGCGACGACGCGACGCGCGGCGTCGGTCGTGCGAACGAAACTGGCCTCGTGCATGTTCGAAGAAGCTTTCATCCGCTGCCTCCACCGGGAAATTATGAATCCAGAGGAATTTTTTTTTGTGTGGTACGGTAGAATAACAGGTAGACTCGTCGTCTCGTCAGAAATTCGAGAGGGGCGTTCGGGAAAACGTCAAAAGTCACGGCTCTCGCAAGCCCGGAGCAGCCCTGTCGACGTGGCCCGTCTGGTTTCGACTGCGCATTTTTCCGCGAATCATGAATCTCATTCGTCTTACATTCTACCTTGCAATTTATCCTTTTCTCAGGTACTCGACAGACGCCAGACGGCAACAAGAGAGAGAGAGAGAAAGCGATAATCGCAATTCGTAATTTTTAACGCGCGCGGCAGGTGAAAGCTTGTCAAATGCCATAAGAGTTATTAAGGGAAAAAAGAAAAAAAACAAACCATACATTAACGTTACTGAACACGTGATTGAACTCGAAGAAGTACAACCGCTTCGACTTAAGCTGTAAATAAGCTGTATTTTTGTCCTGACCCAATGGGAGTATACGTGATGCTCTGTGTGTGTGTGTGTGTGTGTGTGTGTGTGTGTGTGTGTGTGTGTGTGTGTGTGCGCGCGCCGACCAGCAATGAATCGTTTTGCAAAAGGGGAAATATTGTTTTCCCATCTGGGCGCAAAATTGGACGCTAGACTAGGGGGACAACAACATTTCCCCTCGCGGAAGGGACGATACAATCGGTATGTTCGACAGAGAATTCACTATTTCGCGCGTTCCGTTTGTAGCGGACACATGTGTGTGTGTGTGCGTGTGCGTGCGTGCGTGCAAGGTTCATATTCTAAAGAAGCAAATTGATCGAGCCGAACAGAGAGATAACGCAATCGCAGACGGTGCGGATTCGGTTCACCCAAACAGCGCACGACATCCCACGGACATCCCGTGGACGTCTTCAGGACATCGGGACATCTTCAGGACGTTCCTAGGAGATCTGTGCTGTCTGGGTGGTCAGAGGTAACGCGGACAGCGTGTTCGTCCTCGCGCGACTGTCGCGTTAGGATATTGTGCCAAATCAGCATTTCCTTTCCCGTCGACGTGTTTTGTTCTCTCATTCTTCCTTTCCAGAAGCGCGAATCGTATTTCGATCGCGCGAGGCGAACGCCTCGACAAGTCGCGCGATAATCGTCCGGAATCGGCCGAGCGAACGCTCTCTCACGAAGATTCGTTATCTCTAACTCCACTCTTGCCGCGACTCTCGTCGCACGATCGGGGAATCCGCTGATTAATAATCGCCGGTGATTCTCACCGGTGAGCAACACTCGAGCTTGTCGTTGGTCGTGCTCCGTCATTTTTACTTAGCCTAACGAACGAAAGACGAAGTTATAAACACGGCTGGTGCAATAAGGCAGGCTAAGCTCTGAAACGCTTTCGTCCTGCGAAGCATCGTTCCTGTCCTTCGGTAATGTAACGAGCGATGAGGATGGAATGACGCTTTCAGCGCGAGAGCGCCCGGGACGAGCTTGGTCTCGGTTTCACTCGGGGACTCCTCTATTGAAGATTTTCTGTGGATTCCCACAGGAATTTCCAAGGGCACTTATCTGAATCCATATGAAGGATACTCGATATCCACATAGGAATTTTCGCAGTGCGAAAATCCATGTATGGGAGTCCATGTGAATTGTCACCCAGGCCCGGTATTTTTTATCTAAACCTCTGGGAGCAACCATGGGACTCCGTGTGGATTTCTCACGTAAATTCCTTATATGGGTTCCCATTAACAAACTTCTATGTGTTACTGGACTGCTAGCTTTCTTGTATATTGTATAAAAAGAATGGATCCCGAAAAGTATGTATTATATACGAGAAATAAGCATCTGTACATACGTGACGTAAGTGAAGAGTAGTATAGAAGAGAAGTGATGAAGATATAAATGGAAGATATAATGGAAAAGATATAGAACCGACACAGCAAAATATATCACAGACATCTGGGAAATCTGATTGTCAATGTGAAATCTTATAGATACTTTTCAGATATCACGAAGATATCTATGAGATTTCAATATCGGCTATAGTTGTATGAGAATGTTGCGGAGATATCTTTTTCAAAGAAAAAAAAAACGTGATATCGAGTAATGATGTCCTGCGCATATTTCCTGAATATCTGAAAATATCTGAAAATAATATATCTTGGATACAAGTTAAAATTGCAGACATTAAGATACTATCATCTGATTGTATCATCAGATATATTTTGCTGGGTGGGATAATATGGCCGATGCTTACAATCAATCAGACAGAATCGTCACATTACTGTCATACTACTTATACGACGCATGCGTAGGATTTTGTACATATTTTTCGGAGCTATATATTTCGCAGCAGTTAGTAACCTGGTGATATACAGAAGTCTGTGTTCCTACCTGGTTTTCTTCAATAGGGTCGTTTACATTGGATGGGACTGAGTGACGGTTTCTTTTTATTGTTTTATTTTTTTTATATTTCATACGTCACTTATCATGGCGATGTTCGTCCGAGCATTTAATCGACGCATTTACACGAATTCGCATGCTCCGTTGCGTCTGTAACGATTGACGATTTCATTCCGTTTCTACGTGACATTGTTTTTATCTTTTTGTACATGTACCGCGAAAAAGAGGAAGAGAGAGAGAGAGAGAGAGAGAGAGAGAGAGAGAGAGAGAGAGAGAGAGAATTGATTAAACTGTATCGACGATTTGATTCGTGTACTTCCATCTCTTCTATTGAATTTTACCTTTCTTCTCGCCACTCCACACAAACAATGAGGAGACTACATTGCGCTGCGAAGACTAAATTTTGTACCACACACAATACACACACACACACACACACACACACACACACACACATCATTAGCGACGACGGGTTCAATGATAATAGTGATACCCTATAAGCGCGTAATATTAAGTAATATTTCTGGAATATTAATGGGTAGTTATATGCCCACTTCTAATAATATTTAAAAAATAATATTATTTAATGATATTTAATGTTATTGTAATATTATATATTTTTTAAATATTTAACTTTATGTCTATATATAATATATATAATTGTAGTTTTTTATTTCAAATGTGTTGCAATACCAATTGTTTTATTATATAAATAAAGTCGAAAGAATTTTATAAAAATACGTTTTATACTAAAAAAAATTATACATATATATAATTATACATATATATATTTATATATATTTTTCTATACTATTATTTTGTTTTAATGTACTAAGAACATTTTTATAATATACGAAGAATATTATATGAAGTGGACATATAACATCGATAAAACATTCCTATAATATTAAAAAAATATTACATAACTCTCAGAATATTATAAGAATATTATTTTAACATTGTATAATATTCATATAATATTCTAGAAATATTACGCGCTTATAGGGTACGCGAATGTTCCAGCACTTCAATTCGTTAAATCAGTGAAGAAACTTTGTACTGAAAGAAAGAGAGAGAGAGAGAGAGAGAGAGAGAGAGAGAGAGAGATACAAGCCAGCCTGGTATTTTTGTTTTCTTCTCGAAGCTTTCTCGATCTAACACGAGAAGGGGGCGACCGCTGTAAGAGACTCTTATTATACGTCTACACACATACATATGTATCTAATATATTTACATATGTATATAATACATTAAGTAATTTTTCCTATGATTAAGCTTCTTTTTTTTTTACTACGGATGCGATGTACGTATTTATACATGCGTTGGTACGTTAAGCTAATGAGTATGTACGACAAGGACGTAATGCATTTCGTCTTGGCATTTAATACTCATATCATTTCTCTCTCGTCTTCGTAATTATTTAAAATGTTAATTTGTAAAGGCGTGGTCAGACGTATACATACATACATATATACATGCATATACACACGAGTATATATATATATATATACATGTGCGTATACATGTATATATGTAGATATATATATAATATATATATATATATATATATATATATATATTAGAATCCCTCCTTTTTAAACGATAATATATACACGCGTTCTATCTCAAATATATTTTTCGTACCAAAGAGAACTCGATAGTTGTGAATAAATCATTGTTGCGCACGTAGAAGGCTAGCTAGCACTTGACATAATCAATCAATTATGATAACATAATTAGAGATAAAATTGTAATTACTGGCCGCGTCTTCTGAAAAATACGCTCTTTCGTCAACGTTTAATTCCGATTATTATTTATTGTCGAATTAAACGTTGACGAAAGAGCGTATTTTTCAGAAGACGCGGCCAGTAATTACAATTTTATCTCTAATTATGTTATCATAATTGATTGATTATGTCAAGTGCTAGCTAGCCTTCTACGTGCGCAACAATGATTTATTCACAACTATCGAGTTCTCTNTAATCAGCTCTTTTATATTGGGGAAGAGGGATAGGAAGGAGGGAGGGGAGGGGGCGGAGGAGAATTAGCTGAGGACAACAGTTTCATTTGCGAGACGATTGTGTAACTCTTCTTTCATGAGCGCCAAATATCGAATGTATTCCATTAAAAATATATTTTGTTAAATATATATAATATACAATATATATATATATATATATATTGTATATTAAACATTTTTTATCTATAATTTGAATGAAGGTGTATAAGTACTTTTGATCTCTTCGTTGCCGCGAGTGCTGTTGTCACCGACGATCTCGACGTTTGTCGATGAATCCGCGCACACCGTGTCGGGTACTTTTTTTTTTCTTATACGAGCGTGGAAAACAAAGATCTTGTGCAACGAGGAGATCCAGCGAAAATCCAGCTGAGGTTCCCACATATCGATCGCCTAGAACAAAACGTTCGCATCGTTGAAGAAGACGCAATCGTTAAGGAAGAAAGGAGGGTTCCACTTTGGAGGGTCAAAAAATATATTCTCTTGCATTTCTTCATTCTTTATAATCTCAAGAATGTGACCCCAAAGCGATAAGCGAAAAGCGATCAATCGAACATCGACACAACATAAACAATTAAGAGATAACATAAATGCAATACGTTAGATTAATACGGTTATATGATCGATTTTGACACAAGTACAAAATGTTTCTTATTGCTTTCGCGAGTTCTTTAAATCTATAAAAAAGCTAAGATCTAAGAAGAGAGTTGAAATTTCAGCAAATCGCTTTCACAAGATCGTAAAGATTGAGAAACAATGCAAGAAAGAAAAGATCGATTTGTTAACCCTCTAGAATAGAAACTCCTTGAGAGAGAGTATCGTTTGAATTTGCTTTCCGACGTCGTATAAATAAATATATATCGAGCATTGATTTTGAAATTGTCGGGACGATGCTCCACCGGCGCTCATGTTTTTTCTCGCTCCGTTCTTAAGCCCCTCGAGCGTTTCGACATCGCCGCGGCTCGCTCTCGAAAAAAGGAGTAAAATCCTTGGAAGAACCACTCCATGATGAGTAGAGCCGCTCTTCTCTCAACTCGTCGTTATCGAGAGCCGCCCTTGCGACTTGCTGAAACCCCCGAGCGTGCTCTCTTAGCGCTTATCCGCTCTTCTGTCTGTCTGTCTGTCTGTCGCATTTGTCGTACACCGTAACACTGCCAATGTAATATTCCTCCACTTCGTTAAATCTTTTACAATCTACTTCGTCTTCGACCCAACTTCGAGACTATCTCGGCCTCGCGTAAAGCCGATTGATCTCTGCGACTGATAACACGCGCGAACCATCGATTCCGCAATCTCTTCTTATCTCTTTCTCGAAAACGAAAATCGTGCACCACTGTTGTTCGCGATCGCGACGGGATTGAACGCTGTTCGTCTCTCGCCCTTGGTTAGAGAAAGAAAGAGAGAGGAAGAGGGAAATATTGGAACAAAATTGCAGCTGAAAATTAGTCAAATTGACGCGTGTCAAGTCCGTCTGGGACGATGTGTAACGCGCGCGCGCGCGCGAGAGAGAGAGAGAGAGAGAATTCAAAATGTGATCCTATCCGTAGGAAAACATCTCGAGAGTTTCAAAGTTATATTTATAGAGGAATGTATATATTCGTATATATATATGCGATATCCAAACACAATCTTTTTGAATGCTACGTTGCATGAAGTTACAAATAGAACTCTCGGTCGCGAATTGCGAATCGTCCGGGGCTTCAATTGCCTATTATTTCCTGACGAGAGTCACGGGAAAAACGAACGAATGAACGAACAAGAGAGCACATTGCGAGAGATCCCGTCGCGGTCGAATCGAATCTCCTCTTCGGCTTAACCCCTTCGGTTGACGAGGGGGGCGGAAGGAGCGTAGATCCGGAGAGAGACGTCCTTCCCCGCGAGGGACCGAGGGAGGAGACGTTAAGTTATTGTCTTTCTAACAGGCGAGGGAGATGTTTAGAGAGCCTTTAGCCGTAAGAGACGTAGATCTTAGAGCTGGAGGGAGGGGCATCGTGTAAAATATATATTCGTTTCTACGGGGGCACCCGAGTCACCGATCTTAACGGTTAAGGATTCTTAAGCGCCGCCTATGTGAAACGAAGACTCGGGCGAGAAAACGAGGATGGATCGACGCGCCGCCAAGGTGCGGCCGAAAAACGAATTTTCGCGGGACGAGGGAGGAGAGGGGAAGGTGACACCGTGCGGTGTGTTTCTCGCAGAGTCGGACACGTGTTTTATGTAGGCGTACGATAAGAATACTTAATAATTTAAGTAGATAAGTACACCAGCGATATACATTTATGCATAGCTTGCAACCATTTTTCTAGGACACAAACAAACACACATACACAGCCACACATATCCACACATTCTCACACACATACACGCGATCGGAAATATTTATTTTTATTCAAGCGTAAGCATAAGGTAAAAACTACTTGATGAAAGTCTGTCAGAGGGGAGGGAGAGAGAGGGAGAGAGAGAGAGAGAGAAAGAGAGAGAGAGTCGAGCTCGCGTTTACGTCACACATCACCTATGTTGCACCATGTAAAGTCTGAGACTATCATTGGCACGCATATATGTTACTATCAACTTATTACATCATAGTTCTCATCGATACCGTCGTTAGAAGGAGCGAGATATGGTCGGCCGCATCGAAACGGCATCGAAATCTGAATTTGTCGAGATTATTTCTTCGACGACGTTCTTGACACATTGTAGATGTCAGCTGTTGTCAGCATTGTTCAAATCTTGATTTCTTCCGGCCTCGTTTTCACACGAGACGACTCTTGACCGGCGAAAAATGCTCGACTAGTAGTAAACACGAATTTCCTTGTGATTAGTCAACAATGTGTCAAAATTCTCTTCCGGTGCCAACGTTTTATACGCGTCTACAGCCGTCGCAACGAGTCTTCGTCGTACGCAAACAGCACCTTTAAAAGGTGCCTTTATGGTAGACGTTTGACGCTCTTTTTTAGCGCGAAAATATGTCACGTGATTCATCTCGGGCAACACAATGTCTAAGATCTATCTATCTTTTTCATTGTTTTAGTTATTCCTTGGCACGCTGACGACAGAATGTCCCCACTCCCCTTTCATTATTAGACCAACGTTTTTTGAATATATCGTGCAATATTTTGTTCAGCATATTTCCTTCACGATGAAACAATGGGTCAACGGCGAACGTAATGATTATTAAAATCCGTGCTGGAGCGATGTTGTTACGAATAGATCGGATGTTTCCCGCAAATCTTCGAGAATTTTCCAACGTTCCAGATCTTGCCTTCCTTTATTATCGTTTGATATTA